AAGTGAAGTACAGTAGCTTGTACTTGGCGGAATTTCTGAGCAGATAATTGATGAGAAAATTCGTCCCGGGTTGAATGTCTCTCTTCGCCGCGTGTAAGGACAAAGATAAAAAAATAGAGAAGGAAAGATAACGCTTGTGCGAGGGACAACCTATCGAAGTTCCTGATAGAAACTTTTTAGAACATGCACGAGGAAAGTTAAACACGCAACAAAAGGCAAAGTAAGAGACTTTTATTGTTTGATAATATAGCTTGATGGAATATAACAAGCAAAAATCTCTTGACGTATTCTTTCTTTCTTTTCTGTTACATTTTCTTTTCCTGAAACATTCAGATGGATTTTTGTGTTTGAATCTCTCGTATTTATTATATTTAATTGTACTGTCGATACTTCTCGATCAAGATGTAAGTTTAAGGATTGAGAGAAAGTGTGTGTTCTTGTTAGTTTCTATCAGGAGACACGCTAGGTGTAGCATTTTTGTAGCGAAAAAAGCGGTAGAATAAAAAAAAAAATCATTGAAGTGCTCTTTTTAGGCTGAGCTACAGGCTCCACGAAAGTGACTTGTCATTGGCTTATGATATAAACGCGATGGATATTGACGGAAGAAGAATGTAAATTCCGTAATTTACGCTTCGAAATATGAAACTTTTTTTTCTTCGACAAGCAATTATCTGGACAGAATGAGCTCTGCATCAAAAAAAGGAAAAAAATAACGCGAATTTATAATGCGATATTTATCGAGAGATATATATTTTATTTTCGGTTGGTGTCTCTTCGTAATGTTTTTCCCCTTGAGATTTGATACGCCACGATACTTTATTTATTGTAAAACTATGCGGCATTGTGTTATATTTAACTGACTAGCAGTCGGTGATGGGCTCAAGATGGTTTGACAGTATTTGGATACATGTGCAGACGCTACCTACAGATTAATCGAGATCTGTACCGATTACAGAACATTCATGTGTGCGTGTGCGATATTGGCGGTTTTGAGAACGCGAAACCTCGTGAACTCTCCTGGAGAAATCACCGTGTTCCAATGTTTCTTATTCTGTACAGTTATATGATATGCCAATGTAATTTTTTTATTTCCAATAACGTTTGATAAATTAGTCTCGATCAAACTTCATTAATCGTCAGTTAGTCTCAATTCATTAGTCTTGTCTCAATTCATCGATATTCAATTAGTCCCAATTAAAACTCGCGCAGATGATTGAAATAGCTTGATATTCCCGTGATATCTCCACGACGCGTATTTTTCCGTACAGTTACGATTTTTTTTTTCCATTTCTCTTTTATTTCACACGCGAGCAGACTACTGTTGACTCTCTCGTCAGTAGTACTTAGCGTAATTATGTACACGGAGACGCATTCGTGCACATGTATCCGAGGCCCAACACTACGAGTAACTTAAGCATCGTTGAGCTTGCATCGAATGCGCTTGCAATTTATTGCACATACGCTGCACTTAATTTATCGGAAACTATCCGGAGCAAGACTCGAACCTTTGTGCATGACGAGAAGCATCGCGGGCGATTATTATTTCCGAGCATTTTTCGCGATACAGCGCGTGTGCGATATTGTCGTGATTATTGGGCGAAGTCATTCTGAGGCTATGTCCCCATTTTCTTTTTATATTATCCGTTCTGCTAGTTTTATTTTTTTTCATACGCGCCACGATCGTTATCATACAAGAGACAAAATTCAAATAAACATTCGAACGATAGAATGTGATATTTGCGAAGACAAATAGTATTGTATTTTGCCGTCCATATTTTACTTGTTAGGATGATTTCATTCATTTTAACATTTCAGTTCCGTCGATGCGAGTTGTTTACGGAACACGTACCTTTTTCGCCGATTCGGCGTATCGTTAATTTTAATTTATTGAAATTCTAAACGGAATATTCAGTTTGCACGGAAAAACTGCGTTACGAGTATTGTGTGATCGTTTCCTTTCATACTGACGGACGAATTGACAGGACGAAACGAGAATGAATAAACAAATCGAACCGAGAACGCTCATCTTAATGAGGGAACAAGTCGCTCTCATTAATAAGCTGAAACTGTGCTATTCGTCGCCTGATAATACTTGGCTGGCAAACGTTCTCGTTTCTTATTATCCCAAAGTGACCAGAGACTGTTCCGAGAATGCACAAATGGTTAATTGAAAGAGGAAGAAGAGAAAGAGAGAAAGGGCTTGCGAAGGATCGCGGCACTGTTGTCGGGCCGCAGCACGCAGAAACGTATACATGTATACACACACGTGTGTTAATTTCGCTAGCGACAGGTGCATCAAGTAGCCATAGATCTGTAATCGAGTGTGCTTTTCTCCTCGTCCTCCCCATTTTTGCGACATATAAAGAGAGAGAGAAAGAGAGAGAAAGAGAGAGGGAGAGAGATAGAGAGAGAGAGAAGGAGGGAGAGAACACGCGAGCCTCATTATATTTAATTGTACTGTCGATACTGTGTGTCGACGACGAGAGAGGCTGTCATTCGTCATATATTTCGATCGACACGGGTTTCTTGCAATTTCCGCAATTTACGATAATAAGCGTAATCCTACTATAACGCGATAGCGATGTTCCTATTTTACGTTCGTGTTTTTTCGTACGTTTCGGTCACTGAAGGGGGAGAGAGAAAAAGATAAGGGCAAAAACAGAGAGAGAGAAAAAGGAATGAAAAGACCACCACGAACTACTACTACTATCTCGGCTATAATGACAAGCAAATTCCCGTTATAATCGCGAATACGAGGCTCTTCGTCTGGCTTAGCGCAGTATCCCGTCGTAACGATTCGTTATGTACCCGAAATTTTGTCAAACGATAACATTTGAATAAAGTAATTCACATTTGTACGTAATATGTATCACGTTATTTCTACGAGAGCTTTCGCACGAGGTGCAAAATGCGTCAGGTTGCTGGATTTTACTTTTAATTCCGGCTCCGAAATATAATTCACGACAAATATATACATATATATGTATATATGTTCTATATAAGTGTTCTTGAATACCCCTACGCAGGCACACATGTTGTCGTAACGTATACTAAACTATTTTCCGAGACAGAGGGACAAGTCCAAGGTACTACCACTACTTTATAAGATGCGACGACGCTTTCGGATACCCGGAGGAAACGATGACTCTCTGAGAGGCACGCTGGCATAGCTAGCTGACATCTCCCAACCGAAGAGACACGGAGTCTCGCGGCCACACGATGTCTCAAGATATTCCGCCGTGTCCTGCAATTGCCCCGCAATTATCCCGTATTGCCCTGCGATTCGGAAATCGGCTTATAAACCATAAGTCCTAACTAACGATCTTACGTAACAATGACTGGCGGGAAAAAGAGACGGAGAAGACGTTGTCGGGCGAGAAGTGCGAATAGAGCAGGCGGAGGAAATGATGATGATGATGATAATGATGATGATGATGATGATAATGATGATGATGATGATGATGATGATGATAATGATGAGAAGGAGGAGAAGGAGAAGGAGAAGGAGGATAAGGAGGGTGATTGTTGGCTGACGGCGGAATGGATGGATGGATGGAGGAACTAATCTAGATTGGTCGGCTGGTGTGTTGCAGTCGACTTCGATGCGGAGGAAGCGGGACCGTCGACGTCGTTATCGATATCGAGTGCACCCGGGGCGATCAACGCCGCGGAGCCGGCCAGCACTTGGGATTCCCCGCGGCTTTGCCCGCTCTGCGCACGTATCTACAGCAACAACAGTAATCTCCGCAGGCACCTCAGATCGGCCCACGCGACCGCCCCCAATGTGCTCGAGCTGACGTCGCTGCAACGGCGATACTTGATACAGCCGACCGTCATCACCTCCACTACATCCGCCTCTTCCGTCGGAGGACCGTAGCGGTCGCTACCGAGTTGTTGAGAGATCAGTCAGACTACGCTACGACGTCGGAAGAGACCGTCACCGAGACGTTCTCGGGACGTAAGGTCGAACGGATGACTGGCGCTCGGTCGACGAGCAACCCACCGACCTTCGAAGATGAACCGGCAGAACGAAATATCTTTGGTGAACGAAGCTGGTGCAAGCGCGATCAGCGATATGACCGTTCTTCTTGATGTTCAATTAATGTCACGAATATCGATTAGGCTAGTGCTATCGATTACTGCCGTTGGACTTTGCGTGGACAGTCGGGAGAGAGACGGGGGGAAAGAGAAAGGAAGGATCACTAGTCGAGTTCGTAAAGAATCACAAAGACGAGCGGTGAATTGATTGCGAAATAAATCCTTCTTGTATGTTACATACTTGTCTTGTGTGTAAGGTGGACTTTATGGATGTTCAGTAGTCGATAATAAGCTCACTCTATGATTTACTTTACTTTCTACATATACACGTAAACCGGTTGATCTTCCACGATTGACTAAACTATAATAATTATTGACTAAGAGATATTTGCAATAAAATACTGAATACTGAGTCCTGACTACTAAATAGCCGCTGTGACGCGGCTGAAATACCGATATTTTCAAGAGGATATTAATTTAATAGCAGCCAAACGATTTTTTTCACTCGCATGACCATTTTTATAACTTTTGGGAGTTCTCGAGCTATTATATCAAGACACATAAGTTGTTTTTTTCTTTTTTATACGATAAAAATAAATGTGTCTGCTTGAGGAAAATCTCATCTATTCGTTCGACTAGGACAACTCGTATCAGCTAGTGACACGCATTCCTTGTCAAACCATCTGGATGACGTCTTTTTCTAACTTACAGTAACTTATCGATGCATTATTCTGTAGGAAGATATTATTGATGTGATCTTTCGTAAGGCAAACATAACGTTACTGTTGATGTAATGGCAATCATCTTGCATCATCGACTTTAGCACATGTATGCAAAAATAGCTGAACTAGTAGTAGCTATGCAGAAATAGTAGCAGCCGAAGTCGTTCGGCTCTCCTCCGAGGTTCGTACGACCAATACGACAGAATTAAACGTATATCCTTGCACGATTGATGATTGCAGCGCGAAGAGTACGTCGTGGTAGACCGCGACTCGGAACCAGGGGTGGCAAACACCTGTCGCCGTCCGTTCACAGAAATTCACCCTCCAGGAGCGATTGGCTGCCTTTGGACATGAGAACGACCCCACCTGCCGCGATGCCCGCTTTCCGCGGATTCGAGGAGTCTTCATCGGATGGTGTGGTCAGTATCGTATTATCCGATTATATTGTGTTTTGCGTCGCAAAATTGTTGAGGGGAAAATACCAATGTCTAAATGCGTGTCTAACTCTGCACGTTCTTATTGTTTTGATCTTTAAATATAAATGTTTAAATTTTTATCATAGAATATATGCACATATACATTGAATATATACATATATTCCATATTGTATTTGTCCCAATTTAAATATTTGTATTTAAAGACCAGAACACAATCGGAATGTCCAGAGTTAGATACTTTTACTACAGGCATATTATTACTTGTATTTTACATTAAATCATGCTATCTCAATATAATCATCTTTCTAATCAAGTACACACATGTTACCGTTATCTATATTTAAAAAATATAGAAAAACCTTTATTGTGTTTTTCTATATTTCTTCTTAAGAGAAGAATTTAAAAATATCAATACAAGATGATGAAATGTATACTAAATAAATGTATACTAAAAACGAAATATCTGAGAGTTTATTTGCGAGACAAAAGTTTATTTCACAGAAATAAATCTTATATCTTATATCCAAATAAATTTTTCAGTATTCTTTTCTCAGTGTATGTTTTTTCATCTTGCCGTATTGATATTCATAGACTCTCATCTTTCCACGCGTTTCTACATTTCCTAGATATAGATAACGGTAACATGTATGCACTATAATGACATGTAATTTTAATACGTTCTTTATGTTTCTCATAGGTCCATCTCGGTGAAGGCATAGCCGTCTGCGAGGAACAATTAAGGGCCGTCAAGTGGAGCGACTATCGCAAGTTGACACGTGGATTAGCGGCGATACTGTTCAGTCCGACGGAGCTGGCCACATGCTCTGTTACTGGTCAACGTTGGAGCCGCGCCGGCACAGCTACCGAACGTCCCGTCAAACCTGCCCTTGACAGGGCTAAAGTTCAAGCTATTATATGTAAGTGCGCGATGAAGTACAATGAAACGTTGATATACGTGTGTTTCCGCGAATATATCTCGACACTTTACCGAGTCTTTCCTTTTTGATCGACTAAGTTGGTTCGTATTCTCACTGTTTCGCAGCTTACGTGACGTCGAGGTTTCCGCAAGTGGACGTCAGCAGCGTGAAGCAAGTGTTGGCGTACAAATGCAAAGAGAATTCCACCGCCCTCAAGATGAAATCTATACGATACATATGGTGAGCCATGAGATTTTCCACGTTCCTTCGTTAACACGTTAATTGTCATGAGGGTTACCGATGATCGACGTTAATGATTTCGTCGCATCTCATTAATTTACGCGTAAATCACGACTACGTCTGCGCCTGACGAATTAAGTCTCGTAGTCGATAGGGAACTAAGAAAAGCCGACGAACAGATGCACGAGGAAATATACAAATTTGTCGAAACTTTGGTTATTCAAACTTGAATTAAGTTTTGTAACAATCCATGAAAATGATCGTGGTAATCCATGTGTCGAAGAAGAATCTCGCGCGCCTAGCCACGTGTGGAAAATTCAAAGTTCAATTTTCACGTTCCTCTTCCTTCCTCTCACGTCATGCTTCATGTACAATGTTTCAGTGATAGACAAGACACGGATACGTCACCGCGGGCTGAGCCCGAGGACAAGTGAGAGGGGGCACAGGGTGCGTGCAGGGTGCAGCCCGCCTCTCAGTTTCGTCGCGTCCTCCCGCACCCTCCATCCGACACGGTCCGCTCCCCGCAACGCTCCCAGAGCCAGCAAGACCACGGCGACCGTCGTAATAATAATAGTAGCAAACAGTACGCCGACCAGCCGCGTCGCAATCACGCGGAAGAGCACGCGGACGTGGCGTCTACCGCGTCATCCACGCACGCGGGTCTCGAAGGGCTGGTGCCCCTGCACATGCTCCACGGCGCGTTTCATTCCACCCTACGAACGGCGACGGCCTCCTACATTTAATTTAGCCGGGCCGCATCGACCGTGAAGACCCGATCCCGCAAGGGCGGCGGGACGGCGGAATCAGGTCTGACGAAAAGAGAGCCAGTCGTTTCGGGTTAGACTGCCGCGATTACCGTAGGATACCTAGAACGACTCGACTGTTCGTCTACTTCCCTCTCGCCGTGAAAAAAAAAGAGAGAAAAGAGATCCGTGGAGATTTTAATCGCAAGTGGAGCCGGCTCCTCTTTCTCGCCGGACTTTCCATGAAGAAATCTTTCATGCTGACGTTCTCAACAAACGGTTCGCGAAGCACAAGCACGGTAGATGAGATTCGCTGAGTGGTCACCACGTAGGACGAGGTATGATCGCGATGAGCGGTAGACGCGTGCGAACGCGTTTCGAAAGTGAGAAAAAAAATAATGCGGGAAGAGCGAGAATACGCGCGATTACACGCCCGGGTAAAAATCATGCACCGCGACGAAGGTAGCCGCGTTGGATGGAATCTTAGAGCGTCGTACTTCCAATATACGCTGTCATTTTTGGAAGCTGCTCTCCGGTTGCTTCCGCGTAGTGATTAAAAAATTATACATATACAAATATATTATAAATCGCGACCGTGACAGCTCCGGGAAAAGATTCGTGCACTTTTAGTACGGTCGAAAAAACGTCGTCAACATCGGATTATTACATGCAACATGTAACGGCCGAACCGTTACAAGCACTCGAGGTAACAAAATACGATAAAGGATTACTACGAGGATTAATACATGGCTGCGTTCTTGCCTCTTGAAGAAACCGTCCCTTCGTGCGCTCGCGTCCCCTTTCGTCGATAGGTAAGTCGTGCATTTTTCTTTTGCCCGCGCAATAAACAAAATGATGGATCTGTCACGCGTCGCATACGCAAGGGCGTACAGAGACTTGTGACAGACACGAGACAACGAGAACGAAGACGTGTTGTCCCACGAAGGGACGGTTCTGTGCAAGATCGCGCGCATTAGGAGGATTTATTTGGTTTTGGCTGTGAGCTACGACCACATGCGAAGGGGGAGACCCGTGTGGCTATAATGAAAGAGAACGCACCTCTATGGAGGGCGCGTGATAAATAGTGAGAAGGCAATATTATAACAAAAAAAAGAAAAAGGAGAAGTAACGTTATTATAAAAAATAGCGAGGTCGGACGGACCAGTCCGATCCTACCGGGATACAAGGGTAGACTTTCACATAGAATACGCCTAATATAAAAAAGTATAATATATATAAATAAAAAATATAATATAAATATATATATTACTATATATTGAGAACATTAACGAAATAGATGAAGTTATATATATATATATTATTTGTTGGGAGAGCATATTACATATATATATATATATTACGCATATTTAATATATTTAGGATATTTATTTGTTGATTTGGTGATATATATATATAATATATGATTTTTATAAAGGCTCGCGCGCGCGGCATGGAGAGGCCGGCCTAGAAAGCGTTTCAAAAAAAGAAAAAAACAAAAGAAAAAAGAAAAAGAATTCATAGCGAAGGATGGACATGAGTGCATGCAGATTTTAACGACGATATATGTATGTAACGTGAAGTGTTAAAAGTGTTCTCGCACGATCGCGTCTTTCGTCGATCTGATCGTCACAGGTTAGCGTGACGTTACCTCCGCGACGTGCCGAAGCAGTTCGATAACAAGTGTGATCGTGCAAAACCGTCTTCTACGGCATAGAGGTTTTATCGATTCTTTCGTCTGACGGAACAATCTGTTCTTTGTTGATTACAAGATCGGTCGACCGATTAAGCCCGGTTCAGATTACCTGCGAGACTCTTAACGTCGTCTTAACAACGAAAGCGATAGAACGTATTCTTACGACTATGTGATAAGCAATAGCGACGCGAGAAAGAGTTAATTGTCGATTTTAACGTCACTGCTGCACCACGATCCAATCCTCTCGATTGAGGAGAGATGAGGTCAACATTTTATCAGAGGAAGTAATGAGGAGCACACTACGTGATCGCGCGACTTCATATTGTCCGATAACGACAACTAATTGAACAGCCTAAAATAAGAGCAGTTATTGCTCTTAATATAAGAACAGTGTATCGTTGGCCTAACGTCATTCGTATAATTTAAGTAGTAATTCAATTAGTAACGTTAATTTTTTTTTTCTTTTCTTTTATCGTCAAGTCCATTGATACAATTATGTTATTTTCGTGGTTCATTTTGGTTTTCACATTAATTACACGCGGATCAGCAGAGCCTGGGGGATCCTTTTATTTCCGTTAAATTTATCATGTATTTTATTCATATATTTTATTTAACGTAAATGTATAATGGAGGTATCCTGTCCAAAAGAGAAGCAGACGGAGGACACTGAATCGGTCTTAATTGCGATACTCATTGCAGTTTCTTGCAGAAACACGCTCGAAGTGACGATGCGTGTGTATATATTAGACGTATTCATGCATACACATCGCGCGCATTCACACAATCATAGGTGCACTCAGTCTCGCTCAATAAGCTCCCATATTTACGGACTTGCACGCAGACAAGAGATTATAACGAAATGGAAAATTATTTTTATTTATGTAGATCGTGGTACCCTATGAGAGAGTTTGAGTTGATTATAGTTAGAAAGATGTAGAGGGATCTTTTCGCGAACCTCTGGATCGAGAATCTTTTGAGGGGAATTGACAGTTGGGTCAAAAATAAATTTCGTTAGTTACCTTAAAGATTTGGAAATTTACTTAATAGATTAGTAGAAAACTCACTTAAAAGACGTATTATCGATTGCCATTGTCGATTCGATAACAGCAATTCAATTCAAAATAACGTACGCAACATCGACGCGGGGAGAGGCTTATCTCGATCCTTATTACGTCGTGTTTTACTTAATACCGTTTAATCTATTTTCGATGTGATCACCTTTCTCACGACAGTGTCGTGTTTACTTCAGCAATTTGTAGCCGTTTTGTCGATGAAACTTCTATTTTCTCTTCGCGTATCTCATAAGCGCTACATGCCCCTTCGCGCGACCGGTAAAATCGCAGTTTTGTAACTATACATGTGCTTACACACACGCGTTATATACAGAAAAGAAAAAGACACGCGACGACACACAGAGGTGGTACTACATGGCTAACCAACGTTTTGACTCTTCGATCGTTCACATAGTCACCCGCCCTCCACCCCAGTAGAAGTAAACGAGCTTGTAAATAGTCTCCGATAATGTGTTATTACGATTACAAGATAACGATGATAACACGGTGAGGTACACGCACCGTGAGGAGAGGTTCCTCTCGCGAGAGCGGAGCCTCTCGCAATTACCAAGCGCCTACGACTATTAATACGATTAGCGTATCGCTCTGAACAGAGAATGGACCTCCGTGAGTGCGATCAGTGAGGGATAGAATGACGCGAGCTGTCTATTCCGATGGCCGCGCGAGTCCAGTTTTTTCAAGCGGAATTAATTTAAGCCGGCATACGCTCTACACGAGAACGCGTAGGACCTTGGCCAAAAAATAGCCGAGGCACCTTTGATCAATCGTAGGGACACCGTGCCAACGAGGCGTGCATAATTTCAGAGTCCACTTCTCTTTTCAGGTCACGAGGGAGTCAATGTGTGTGCATACTTACTTGTGTACTAAGCATACTGTAAACAAAGCTAGTTTCCAACGAAGCAAATTAATGAGTCGGAATCGTTACAACATTTACACGTATAGATAGCTCGCGGAGTACGTTTTAGAAGAAAAAAAAATACAAGGTATCGAACGATGGAGTTAAATGAGCGAAAGAAAGGAGGAGAGAAAGAGAGCAAGAGTGTGTGTGCGAACGAGAGTTATGAAAAGAGAAATAGGAAGAGAGAGGGAGAGCAAGAGAGAGAAAGAGAGAGAGAGAGAGAGAGAGAGAGAGAGTTGACTGGACACAAGTAACATACTCCATGCCTTATAATAATAGGTAATACAAGTATGCGTAAGATGCATAGGTAGATCTATTTAATTAGCGAATTAATTGTAAGATTTAGCGAGACAGAGACCGTATTGTATCGGCGCACCTGGCGATGGGAACTGGATCCTTGAGGATCCAACGGGAAAATGTCTTTATTCGTCGTGTAATAGCATACGAAGACGCGCGTGCGGAGTTTTAGTGAGATTAATAAGTTTTTAGGTGAGATCTTGAATTCCCAACGCTACGTGCGCGTTATTGTAGACGACAGATGTACGCTAATCGAGGTGTTTGGGCGAACGAAGGCGTGTGATGACTGAAATAAGTCAACTGCCCCGCGCAAATCGCACCTTCTGCCTATCTTCAATTACATAATTCTGTCATTTTTATTTGCGACATTCTTGAAATTCCAGCAAATATTCGATGACGTTAAGGAGGAAATGTAAAAGAACTTGGTGTAAAATCGAAGAAATGCTTAAAACATCGCGGATTAAAATGGCGTTTGAGCAACTGTTTGTCTCATCGTGCGCCTTCGTTCACTTTTAATTGTAGCGAGTAGGTAGCATCCCTAATCGTAGTAGGGAAAGTGATGCCGCTAAGTCGAACGATGCTGCGTGATTTGGTGTAGTTTCGAGTCGCTTTACTACGGGTCAATGAAGTGAATGTCGAGGAATAGACACGTCAAATGCGCGATTTGTTGCTTATTATATATGTGTTCCGGATCAGTTTTGCGCTCCCAATTTTACACAGAGAAAATATTGTAATAGAAGTATCACCTTAAATTTGTATTTTTTTTAGAATGTCCTTTGTAAAGCTGCACTATACTAAAATTGTATAGTATAAATTATTATAGAAACATAGTATAGAAACACAGTAAATTTCACCATCTACCTATGACACAATATAAAAAATATTCAAATAATTACAACAATTTTGTAGTAAAAAATGAAACGTGAATAACATTTTTAAATAAATATACAGGGTGAGTCGCCTAACGTCAGATCCTAAAATATCTCTATTGCTTTTTATATTAGGAGAAAGTGTGTAAAAAATAAATTGTGTGATTGGAAGGGATAAATATTGTGCCAACCTTTTCGACCGCACATTTATTTCTTATGATTTGTCCTCCGATATAAGAAAACAACAGAACATATTTCAGAATGTAATGTTAGATGAATCAATCTGTATATTTGTTTAAAGTCAAGTATTTTAATGCTAGATACGTTTGACTTTTTACTATTTTTATTTGTGTAGTAATTTCTGCCTCGTCTGGGATTGCAAAAGTTTTTTTCGCTACAATATCTTCTCTGTGTGCCCTCGATATTCCAAATAATGTCAGTCGGTCGTTCGCACCTGGACCGCGTAAGGTATTTTCGCGATGGTTAAACGGTTAAATTGACAGGTGGTACAATTTTTTTCCGATCGAAAGGTTAAGCTTTCACGATGTTCTCGTCGAATCGGACATCGACTGCGCCATATGTGCGCTACTGATTACCGTGCAATGTCTTCGGATTTTATATATATCGGTTGTGTCGCGGTTGAATGAGCGATTCAGCGGTGGATTCGGTCAATAATTGTCGGGTGTCTCCCGTGCACACGCGCCGATATCAGTTACAAGCATTATGTCCAAAGATAATAGCAACTCTTACGGTTACCGTGTAACAGAATACACATAGAGCGCTTTATCCCGCAAGCAACGCGTAGTACCTTAGAAACTGTGAGAACGACGACATACGGGGAGAGACTGCGGTCGTTAATATTTATTTAGATACGCGAATTACGATAGCTGAGTAAGTCATCGCGGAAATGGATGTTTGTCCCTCTCTTTTTTCCCCTCTTCTTTTTATAGGACCTTACAAGCGCGCGTTTCACTTTCTAGATGATTACACGTCTTACTTATGGAGTGTAGGAGAGCTGGTGGCCGACTTTGCGCGCGCGTTAACGTTGGATTCACCGGAAATACGAAATTCTCACGTTTGGACTAGTTACATTTTATTTACCGTTATTTTTACCATTTCTCTATGCACTATTAACGAGCACGAAAGAGTGACGGCGACGTCTCGCGATCGCGACGGTGTTAGATTGCGATTCCTCGCAAAGTGAACTTCTGACACTGTTTAGAGTTGAAGTAACTCCCCTCTCCGCCACCTCCTAAGATTATTTCATACTCATAGCATCGGCGAACGAGTTTCTCTCTGAGGGAGAAGCTCCTCGGGGAACTGCGACAGTCGTAAATGCAATTGTCATCGGGAAATGTCGTTCGAAGAATCAGACAACCTACGAATCGAGAGATTCTGCGGGATTAGAACGGTTCCCGGGGAGACCTCGAAATGGAAACTCTCCCGTTCGTCGGGAGAAGTAGCGTCACGTGGTGATATTTCTTAACAGCTTATAAATATTCGTCTTGTTCGTCAGTCGTGTTCTGCGTCTTACGTTGCAATGGAAATCTCTACAGGCGGAAATGACGAAAATTGTCACGCACGTGTGGCAACTTCTTTGCACATTGCAATCGCTCCAATTTGACGTTTCGCCGCGGCATTCGTAAGGAGACAAATATCAGAGACCTTCTATAATAAGTAAGCAGTAAGATATAAGCAATAAGAAAGTTGACCAATCATCATTGATTAAACTATCAAATAATCCACTATGACTGGTGAATTTACTTATTGTTTACATCTTATTGTCTACTGTAGAAGATTTGTCAGCGTGAGGCGCCGATCGTCCGATTCTGTCCGGTATGTTTCGATCTTTTCACTTTAACGAACAGTGTCGCTACGTGCGTTCGGTTTTCTACGCTTTCTTTCTTTTTTTTTTTTTTTCAGGGATTACTTTGGTTAGATAGACGGTGAAAGGTGAATGCAACTTAGATGCACTATAATCCTTAGAGTAATAGCAGATTCTGCGATGAGGAGTATTCCGCTGGACGGCTCGTGAAACGCGTTTACGCAATAATAGATTAATAAGTAGGAGAGCGCAGGAATGTTCACACACACACACGTATATATATATACACACACATACACACAAACACCCACGCGTGAGCGCGTCTCTCGATGATACGCGTCCCGACGAGACGATGGTCGAGAGGCATCGTGATCCACGTGACGCGAAGCTTTCCTTAAAACCGACGGCAATATCGTCGAGGGTATCCTCTTCGGAGATCGAGCTCGGTTAGGACGCGCGATCGATCTCCGAACAATGATCCTGCGATTGTGATACGGCTGTAATAATCGTCAGATCGTCTTAATACGTTAGCGCGGCTTACTATTCTGATTTGTTGTGTCATTTCGAACATCTGTGTTATTTTTAATAAATCCATGGATTATTTTGTTTCCATGCCTACCTTCATTTCCGTTTGCTCCCGCATTTTCTGTTCCCCCGGCCTTTTTTTCACCCGTTCTTTTGACAACGCGCTAGACACGCGAAGTCGAGAGAGATAGCGCACTTTAACGCGGAGCGTAGACAAGCGAGAGCGACGGTCGTCCTTCGCGAGGATTAACGTAATCGTAGAGGCTGTGCCAGATTTAGAAAAGTAGGACCCGTATTAACAGTTGTCGCCTGAAACTTGCCTCACGTGAGTTTCCTCTCAGATTTTTATTCGGAGTTAGATCCAAGTTTTTCAGTGAAATTACAGTCTCGTTTTCTACTGCTCTTCCTTTCGTCAAGTCTCAACTGTACACTTGTTTCTTTTCAAATGCTGCAAGCGTACACTAGTTTAGCGATAAAAACAGACTTTAATGTGAAATTTCGATTGAAAAGTTGTCGTCTAACTTCGAATTGGAATCCGAGTATCTCAGTTGAGGCGAGTGTCAAGTAATAACTATTAGGGTCTTAGATACGTCCTTTCATCTTGAGAGTGTATTTTTCGTTTTCTGAAAAAGTTACGTGCCATTTATACGGGGATGGTCGCGCACTAGTGCGTGATCTGGTGTATTTCGTCATAATTCGTTGGTCTCAATTAGCCATGTATCTTGACTGCTTAGCCGAGTAATCGCTAGCCAACGACACGCAGCTTTCGTTCGTTCTCGAAAGGGCGTCACCTTCAAGTCAATGCACGAAACCGCAGCAATAAGCGATACCATTAATTAATTAGATAATAGCGTTTATCGAGAAGCGCCAAGAAAGTGATCCAAGACGAACTTTAGACATTGGATTCGCCGATTGAGCGCCAGCGATTCGATCCCGACACCGATATCGTCAACGTTTTACGGATATATAAGAGAGAGAAAAGAAATTCAGATTTTCGAGGCGGTGATCTTGAAAATTTTGAATGCCCGAGGAGCGGATTGGAAGATGCAACAGATAAAAGCGTTAAATTTGTGACCACGTAACAATGCTTTTTGTAATCTAATAATACAGGTCGTCTCGCGAGAACGATGTAAATGAGATGTGAAAAATAATAAGAAATTACCCCCTAAGGAATTTCCAATCGAGTGACAAAGAGAGAGAGAGAGAGAGAGAGAGAGAGAGAGAGAGAGAGAG